ATTCCCTATCCGAATCGCCGATTCGCCGATCCGGAATGATTTTTTGGAAGCCCGATCCGGGTCACCGATCCGTTTTTTAAACCATTGGTTTCAACTAGTTAACCCACCCAAATATTTAACCAACCCAATATTTAACCACCCCACGATGGGGATGTATGATGTTTGGGACATCAAAGAACCCGACTTTAGGACAGTCCCATCACATCTTGCCCATCGCTTTTTCTTTTTTTGGTCCCTCCTCCATGTAAATTTAGTAAAAATATAGCCCATGGTGCCAGAAAATTTTCTGGTCTGTACGTAAATTTCCCTACCACCAGAAGATCATTTTACAAACATAATGGTTCAGTAGGGCTAGACGTGAAACAGAATACGCAATAAAACGTTTGGAAGACCCCGCCAAAACCAGATTGAAACGAGCTGGTTGAAACAGTTCAACCGGTGAACAACCAGTTCCAATCAATTCTTTAAAATTTTCAGTTCGATGGCATTCAAGCAGTTGGATCGGCCAGTCCAGTCATGATGACATTGTTAACAAAACTTCCTTGGCCTAAGCCTCTAGAATCAGAGAGAGCATTATCAATTTCTGAAAGAACTCTGCAGTTCCCAACAGCAAAAAGTACAACCCTACTCTTGCAGGGTACCACCGTGTTTAGAAGCAATGTGGATGTCTCAAGTACATAATGCTTCTGCTGGAAATGCGAAAAATCAAGTAGAATGCTTCCCCCCCAAAAGGCCCATGAATATTGGGTCCACCTAAATCGCAACAGTGCGATACAGATGTATCAATTTTTTTGTGAGCAAAATTCTACTTATTTCTTCAGCTTTTCAGGAATTTTACATAATCCATAACACGATTGTTGAGACAACCTGAGAATGGAAAAATTTGTGTGAATAAATTCTAATCTATTCTTCTGAGGCCAGAGTTGGAGTCTCGATGGAGCTCTTCATGCTGTGTAGAGTCAACATTTTCTCCTCTGGTCTGCAGAGTCCTGCAAACAGATAACAACCATCAGTTTAAGCAATCAACCATTGTTTATTGAACATCATGTCAATTAAGGAAAAAAAAGAAGTTGACCAAGTTCGACGTCATAAGCGAGGATCTTTTTTCGTAATCAATGTAATAACCATGATTAAAACCTATTGTATAACTTATTGATAAAAATGACGAGTGAATACACCATTTGTAACCACTAACTATTAGATAGGGCCAGACCGGCTGGTTCGAGCAGGAAACTAGTGAACCGCCAACCGGTGGTATGTCAAGTCTAGTCTACCATGCTGGACTGGATGGTCAAATACCAAACTCGCAAAACCTAATGGGCCTTGAAAGGAAATGAAAATACCCATTTTTCAAACATAGGTTCTTTTAGCTATTATTTTTTTTAAAGTTGTCTAGGGGCATTTTGATCATTTTCATCATAAAAGAATGCTTTGGATTTGGGGGGCGGGGGAGGGGAAAGAGAGAGACCTTTGCCTGAATTAATCTGCCTCTTTTGAAGCCCAAGTAAGCATATTCAACCCTTTTTTTTTATGGGTGCGGTTTGTATAGAGCCTAGGCCATAAACAATCAAATTAGAGCCT